AATTTTGAGTGGTGGTGATGAAAGCAGTAAGAAAATTAAGGTTTGTCAATTTACATTGAAAAACAGACATATCACATAGGTGAAGTGAAATTGCGAATTTTGGTCTTAGATATTTTATTGCTTTCATTCTTTTTGATTTTCAGTCAATAAAAATGATTTTACAATTCCGTTTGTCTATTTAATATCTTTGGCTTTTTTCCGTCATTTTTTTTTTCGAATAAGTGTCTCAATCTTTTAAAACTTCATGTCTTATTTAGGTATTTCTTGACTGTTATTTTTATGTATGAAAATAATAATCTAAAAATAATACTTGTAGCTGATTTACGTCTAATTTTAATTGTTGCAATAATTACGTTCATGTTTTGATTGAGTTCGGTGTACAATTTGAAATAGTAACCTTATTTTGACAAAATAAAGAAAAACAAAAAAAGCTGTTTGTTTATAATATTGCAAGTTGTTGATGTTTGTGGGTATAAATTGCTGGTATTTCGGTAAAACATCTTGTTAATCGTTTGTAGCGTCTATTCAGTTCACTGCTTCTGAGTTTGATTTGGGGGCCATTAATTAGATTGTTTAATTCATACCCACATTGATACTATTGACGTAGGATTTTATTTTCTTTTTCCTTTAACTCCAACATTATTTAATGCATTGCTTAAAGATTTCCCAATAAAATCTTTGCACCAGATTTCTATGGTTTTACACCAGGTTTGTCAGCCTTAGGTTGTTTAGTTCTCACTTAATTCTAGATATTTACCACATTTTATGTCGTGAATTACTAATATATTCTCCTCTCATGGTACTGTTCATATATTAGTATTTGAGAATATCATCATATCTGGACGAACATGGTTAAGATAATATCTCTTGAGAATTTCAGTTCTTTTTCTGGAACCATTGTTGACGTCGGGTGCTGTGTTTCGCACGTTTGGTTTCCTTTTCACAACATTTTGTCCTTTCCAGCCGGCTTTCATAAATTTTATTTCTTTTTCAGGATGATATTGGTTATCTTGTATGAAGTTTTCGACTGCCATTACAATCGTTCTTAGCAAATTATTATGAGACCATCTGTGGTAATTTTTACTATTACACCAATCTCCTTTATTGACCTAATGCGCTTGTTTAATTCCGCCCTACTTCCCATCACTGACCATATTCGTCAGAGATGAGATGGGTGTAATAGTAAAATGATTCTCCATGTGTAATGTGCTTTTTACAGTGTTTAAAGATAGCTATTTCGTATTTGCTGCAGAGATCCTCGTCTCTAATAGGCATGTTGTTGTTGTTTTTTCTTCTTTACAGGATTAGTAGGTCGTCATAAACGGCTTGTATCATAATCGCGGTTGTATTCTTGCCACCACCAATTCGACCATGTTATTTTTCACGGTCCGACCTTTTCACATCTTGTGCATGTTCCCTGCTGACTTATCGCGACTAACATGGAGGCAATTAAATAATTAAAAGGAACTACATCATGGCTCTCCACTTCTCCTTATCCTCTCTCAATAAGTCTTGTCCCTTTGCTACTTCTCCCAGGCCGCTAGGTATGCGTTACTTTTCCTTGTCCCTCTTTCCCACTATTCGACCTGTGAGTATCACATTCTGCAAGCCCTCCTTTCTCATTACGTATCCCAGAAATTTCAGCTGCCTCTTCCTGATGTTAAGCATAAGCTTCCTCGTTGTTTGCATCCTCTGCAAAACCTCATGGTTTCTCTCACGCTCGGGACATGATATCCTTAGCATCCTTCTGTAGAACCATACCTCTGTTGCCTCGAGTCTCTTCGGATGTCACGTAGCAGCTCAGTACACTTTTCTTAACCAAAGTAATTCTTCTGTCTCGTAATATTCTGCCTAGCTTTTGGAATGCGTCTTTGGCCATTCCAATACCTCTTCGGATCTCAGCGTCTCACTTACCGCCCTCTGTCTTGATTTTAGTGTCCCCGACCTGTAAATCGCATTTCGGGCTCATGCTGATGACCATGCATTCTCTCTTCTTGTAGTTTGTGCTTAGTCCCTTCTTCTCGCTTTCCTTCGCTACCTTCTGTAAGACGTTTTATCATTTATTTTCCGTGTCTGCTATCAGCACTTGTGTCATCGGCGTATCTTATGTTGTAAAGATTGTGGACGCCAATGATGAACGCATAGTCTATAAAACATAGATACACGTCCTTCTGTATTTGTATCGCTCTTTCTGATAAAATTCTGAGCATGAATATCGCGTTTCTTGTTCCGGTGTCTTTAATGAACCCGCACCGTTCTAGTCCTATCTCTGGCTTCATTCTACTGCACGCTCTATTCAACAGAATACGGATGATGAGTTTTGTTGTGTGGCTCATTAGGCTGATTGTTTGGTGAAGTACACATTCGTTTGTGTCTGGTTTCTTGGGCAGTGTTATGAAAATACATCTTCCGGTATATCCTCACTGCTGTAGATTTATTATTTCTGTGCTCTTGTCTATGCCCAAATCATCTAGCAGGATTTCCATTACAATTCCGTCTGGCCCTGCCGCCTTGTTTCTGTTCAATTTGGCCAGTTCAGCTTCTACATCGGTTTTTAGAATTTCAGGTCCGTCGGTAATTCTGTGTATTACTGGTTCTCCTTCGTCGTAGAAGAGTTCTCCAATATACTCGTTCCAGCGCTGAAGATTCTTTCCTTCTCTAATATGAACGTTCCGTCCTTTGAGTTTATGCATCTTGTTGACGAGCAAGACTTCTGTCCTGTTAGTTACCTTATTTGTTTATCCATATCTCCTTTGTCGGTGGTACTCGATCACTCTATTTCTGCACATTTTTTGTTTGGTCACTGTTCTTTAGTCGGCCTACATTTGGTCCTAATTTCGTTTCTGTAATTTTCTGTATTCCGAGTTTTCTGTCTCCTTTGTATCATGTCGAGCCATTCATTCGTTTTTCTTCGTCGTCCATTCTCCTTTGCGATGATATCGTTTGTGTCTCTTAATGCGTCCCATTTCGAGTTTCCATTGTGTCCCTCTTACGTTCTTTTCACATTGTCCATATATTTTTCTTTCAGATAAGGGGCGCTCAGGAATTTTGTTGTATTGCAATTTGGGTGCAGCGTTAGGCTTCTTCAGTTTCCGCAGTTTCACTCTCAGTTTACATATAACAGGGCGACGATCGCTTCCGCGGTCGGCACTTGGGTAGGTTTTGTAGTGAATCACACAGTCCTGAATCTTTTGTTGATAGTTATGTAGTCAAATTGGTTTTTAGTTTCTCCTCCTGGACTTCTCCATGTCCATTATCTTCTCAGATGTTCTTGGAACCATGTGTTGGCTATTACTTGGTCATTGGCCGTGTAACATTGGATCAATTTTCCCCGCGTTCGTTGCGGGTTCCTAATCCGAAATTTCTGGCTATATCCCTTGCTCTCTTCCTGCCTACTTTGGCGTTTAGGTCTCCCATGATAATGATGACTTCTTGTGTTTTGCAAAGAGCCTTTGCATTGTCTAGCATTGAGTAGAAAGATTCGATTTCTTCTTCCTTATTTTGCGCTGTCGGTGTATACACTATTATGATTACCAATATTCTCTCAGAGAGTTGGTAGTATCCCAGAACGCATTTCCTAAATACTTTATCAATCCTACTCCTTTGTCGTTTTTCTCTCCGCTTGCATAAGTAATCCTGTGATTGTCACTGACAAAATCACCATTGTTTGGCCATCTGGTTTCACATACACCTAAGATGTTGATTTTTAGTCTACTCATCTCTTGTTTTTACATTATCTAACTGACAACAGTTCCATGTCACGTGAGTTATTTTTTGTTTGATGTGAGTAGTCGCAAGATAACGGTGCGGTGACACCTGTCGCTCATGTCGTTCCTTTACGGGCGAGGGATAGGTTCCGAGGAATTTTATCCTCTTTACGCCGTTTACGTCTAGCAGTCGCCGGATGACGGTCAGGTGACACCTGTTGCACATATCGGTCCTTACTGGGCGAGGAATTAATTCTCATAGACTTAACCCCCTTCACGCAGTTAGGTTTCATATTGTGTGTATTGTTAGCCATGATATATCTTGGGATTAATAGTGGAATGGTTTCCCGTTGGCTTCTCCACGTTGTTTTATGGAGACACCATCTCTAGTTAGCTGGCCGTTGACTCAGAGAGTCAGGTCTGACTTTTTGTCGTACTGGCTCGCTAACAAAGCGGCCTCACTTGGAAGAACATGGAGTGGGGTAGGCGGTTTATTAGCCGATGTGTCGATTGTGAAATACTTACCATATATATATATATATATATATATATATATATATATATATATATATATATATATATATACATTATTTGCTACAAAAATGTATAAGCTCAAAAGATGAAAAACATTTTAATGGAAAATTACTTAATTTTATCGTTCTTTTAAATGAGAATTCTATCGTCTCTCAATTGTAAAAATAAAATAGTCGACCTAATAAAATTGATTTTTTAATGCTATTTTAAATCAACAATTAAAATTTTAACTATTTTATTTCTAAATACAAAAAATAAAATTTAATTAATTTTCAAAGGAAAAGTCTTATTCAGTGTCAAATATACACACACATAGTAAAAATACATTTTAAAGAATTTTCAAGCAGATGTACATATATGAAGCAAGGGATTAAATAATTCGAAATACAAGATGATTTAAGTAATTATTAATAAACTTATTTCGGTTTCATATGACATTTTTATGTAAAGAGTGGAGGGGGCAGATAAACTAAGAGTTCAAGAAAATTCATTCAGTATCATGCCTGAAAAAGTGAAACTCAAAGAGCAAGAACTTATGGAAGAATATTGAGGATCTACAGAAGATGTGAAGTTAAGATTTTGCTGATATTATAATTGATATTTCAGTGACAAACTTGTGGATTTTTCTATCAGGAGAAAGGTTTATTATTATAGTTTTGCGGGAAATGATATCCTCACTATACGAAATAAACATTTTGTAGATCTGTTTAAAGAAATAGTTGAAAAAAATCATCAAAGGATAAAAGACGAAAAACGTACCCAGTTTTTGCAAAGTTACTCCAAAATCGCATCATTTTTCGGCTCAGTTCTACTTCGTTTGGTAAATAGTTTTTGTTCCTATCCATGGGCGCTCCGAAGACAAAGTCAATTTCAGCGGCGTGGTAGGCCCCAATCCATTCGGGCCACGGTGACTGGGAAGAGACGTGAGTGTAATGGTAATAGTAGACTTTCTGTCCTGCGGCAGAATACGCGTTGGCCATTTCGTTTACCTGACAGAGGAAGTGATAATCAGCCACTAACTGGTCAAGCATATTTCGGTTGTGTAGCATGTCATCAGGATCTGCCCAATGTGTGTACTGATATAAGATAGCGTCCCTACCAAACGAGTTTAGGGAATGTGGATACTTCGGATAGTATTCGACCAGTGTATCCAAGAGAAGACGAAAAATACTTTTACTAATAAGAGCACTGTCTTTTAAATTGAAAATATCTTGCCGAAAATAGGTAAGAAAATATGTTCCCTCGTTTTTGTTGCTCCCCACCAGGATAGGGACTTTTTTAAAATTTTGACGTTCCAGTGAGATTTCCGGAGCTTCAACCAAAAATGTACCGTCGACAACGAGGACAAACGGGAACTGAGAGATCCCTTGGACCACCCACCATTCGTGATTTGGAAACTCATCTGCAGGTTGCGCTTTTAGGCATTGGTAGACATCCATGGCCGTATCGAGAACGGGACACTTGAATTGGCGAGCAAGTCTCTTCGCTCGTCGAAAGGCCTCTTCACGGGTTGTCACTGCCCATGCGCAGGTTACACTTCCACTTTGCAAGATAGCCCGATTAAACTTCGGCCGACTCAGAGGGGAGAGGAGGTGAAATGCTACGCTTACTGCGCCAGCGCTCTCACCAAATAGGGTCACGTTTTGCGGATTACCTCCGAAAAACTTGATATTTCTCTGCACCCAGTCTAACGCCATAAGTTGGTCGAACATTCCCGCGTTTCCGGGGGCTTCTGGAATGCCGAGAGCGAGAAAACCGAAAGCACTTACTCGATATTGCATCGATACGAAAATGACATCATTCTCAGCAACCAAGTAGCGTGGGTCATAGACATCGAGGGTCGATGTGCCGCTGTAGAATCCCCCACCATAGATCCATATCATTACAGCTTTTTTCTTCTTAGATTTACCATTTCGGGGCACCCAAACATTTAAATAAAGACAGTCTTCAGAAAGTTGCGTGTTAGCATGCCACATAGTCTCGCCTGAAAAGTTTGTAAAAATCCTGTCATAGCCCTGGACGCATGAGTTTGGCCTTTTCGTTGCATTGTAAATTCCTGTCCATGGGTCATTGGGTACTGGGTGTCTAAATCTCAGGTTACCCACTGGGGGTTTAGCGAATGGAATGCCAAGAAATGTATCCACCTGTTTGTCGTAAACATTTATTCGCATTCCTCGAACTTTTCCTTTGGATGTAGTTATTATTGGATCTGAGTTGTATGCTTCAGCGAGGACAAATAAGCATAAGATATAGACTCCGGAGACACGCAGGAAGTCTATAAAGTGACTTAATTCCATAATGACGTCATCCAGCTTTTGGGTTGCTGCCTATCTCTTCCACACCTGCAAGAAAATGAATAATGCAATTGAGTCAAGAATAATTGAAGAAATTTTACATAATAAACGATAGGAAATTCACTAACAAGAAGGATAAATTATCACCTATCCCAAATATTTTAAAAGAGGAACAGAATACTGAAAGATTCTTGGCCTGAACAAAAATAGATTTGCCAATGTTGGTGATTTGATCAATTTGGGAACAGAAAACTTTTCAGCACTCCTTATATAATTTAGAAAACAATTTAGAAATAAGAAGAATAAGGAAGTAGTGCTGTTTCAAAATAAATTGCAAACAATTGGATACATAGAAAATACAAATAGAAGTACAGAGAGATAGATAGATAGATAGATAGATAGATAGATAGAGAGAGAGAGAGAGAGAGAGAGAGAGAGAGAGAGAGAGAGAGAGGGAGTGGAGAAGGAGAAGGGAAAAAGAAGAAAGTGAAGGAATGTAAGGAAGAATAAAAGGATAAAAAAGATGACGATGATTAAAATGTCCCATCATAATTTCTAAAATAAAAGGAACAGAATTCAACGTCACATTGGCATAAATATTGTTGTGTCAATTTCTGTATTTTAACTCTCTCTAAAGTCAGTTCGTATTTATATGAAATACGCCGTTATAAGAAATCAAGCGCACCAAGGTAATCGGAGAATTTGAAAAACAAGTGGTTAGGGCTCCAGTTATATTTTGGTGGACACAGCTTTAACTTGATGTCGTTAGAATTGATGTTAGAAAGATCATTTTTAACGCAATTAGCAAAACTAACAAACCGCTCAATTATAGAAGTTGAAAGACAAGTTGAATACAATACAATTTGTGAACTGTATAAAAACATGTACATACGCACAAACGAAGGTCGATCAATAAGTCTGTAGCTTGATGTAAATAGTTGAATATTGAATTGGATAATGTTCGATGTAATGATTAAAGTAAAACCGTTAGGTTGAATGCATTTAAGAAGAGTATGTCAAAAAATAATTTTTGTATGTAAAACAGATGCTTTTTTCATAATTAAATTGCAAACTTATTGACGGATTAAGGAAGAAAGTTAAGACATTTAGTTGCGTAATGATACGTTAGTTGCTCTTGCAGATCATTATAATTGAGTAGTGAGTTCTGTACTCACTAAGTGCCTAATACCTAAAACCTGCATTACATAACAATAAAGAAATCGTCACTAAAAGGCCACAATGAAGTGTGTGTGTGTGAGTGTGTGCTTGTGTTGTGTGTGTGTGTGTGTGTGTGTGTGTGTGTGTGTGTGTGTGTGTGTGTGTGTGTGTGTGTGTGCGAGAGAGAGGTATGGAAAATAAACGAAGCCAAAAATGTAGTTAATGGGCGTGGACAGAAAGAGGATTAAGAAAAAGTAGAAAGTGAAGAGAGGAGAAATTCTAATTCAACGACTCTTTGCATTCACATTTAATATAGTTTTCTTTGAATAATCCTTTTGCCATTTTCTCGCCACACTACATAGTCTTGCGATTGTCGAAGTTCGGCACTGAACCAAATTCCTTAAGTCGTACCCTGCAATTTCCCAATTATCCTATTTCTGATTCGACAACAATGATTCGGTGATAGCACTTATATGAAAGATAAATATATAACGATTAAAGAAAAGATGAATAGCACCTACGAACGAACCAGTCAACTCGTGATAAGGAAGCACTTTTACAAACTATTCATTATACGTTCATTCTAGGTATTATTTTCAATGTTTTGCACCAAAAACATTTTTGGAGAAGATAATCATCATGCATATAGAACATCCATACACAGAAACATACAAATAAATTAGACTGTAAAGTTAATTTTGGATCGTGTAATTCATGGATATCGATATTATTATTATCAGAGATAACTGTGTGAGAAGGGTTACGTCTTTTGGAATTAACTTCTTGCCCGGTAACTAGGGACATGCGCAACATGTGTCAGCTGACCGTCATCCAGTGACTGTTAGGAAAACTATAAAGAACAGCAGCTTGAAGTTGGTCAGATTCATTGAAATAGAACCATTGCCTAGCAAGAAAAGATATGAGCGATAAGTGTCACTGGAACCTCATCTATCGACTGTTCGCATCAAACAAAAATAAATTTAGGGACATTGAATATCAAAACTAAATCATTGTGGCCAGTTAGAAAATATAAAGCAGGGAATGAGTAGGTTAAATGTTAATATTTTAGAGTATACGAAACTAGATGGGAAAGGGTTATATACAGGCAAAGAAAAAATGAGAGGGGAGTAAAAATCATGTTAAACCAAGACATGAAGAAATGTTTCCTGGGATACTAACAACTGTCTGATAGAATTATTTTAGTTACTCAAATGGAAGTCTTTTAATATATCCATCGTAGTTGTGTATGCACCGGCAGCACAAAGTACGGAAGGATAACTTGAAGAAGATTTATTGTACGCTAGAGAACAGCTCAATGCAAATCGCAGAAAATTACAATCGTCATGGGAGACCTGAATGCTAAAGTAGGAAAAGAGAGAGATGGTGTTGGTAAATTCGGACTAGGAACTCGCAATAAACGCAGAAGAAAGTGGGTTCAATTGCGCGTGGCGAACGATCAGGCAATAGATTTATATAATTATTTTTTTATAAATTATGAAAAAGCGTTTGATAAATCACGCCACAAAGAATTGTTTGAAATCCTAGGTAGGCTTGATTTATTTGGGAAGGTTATGAGAATAATCCAGAATTTACACTGGAAGAAAATTGCCTGTATACTGATAAAAATGAATTCAGTGAATACACAAAAATAGAAAGGGGCGAAAGATAAGTATGTAATTACAGGAACTCCTACAGAAGGTAGTAAAGAAAGTGAGAAGAAAGGACTAAACCTCAATTGTAAGAAGACATTATGATTGTTAATAAAAAGAACACTTCAGGATGCGTACTACAAAATTGGAGACCCCAAAATCAAGCAAGTACAAAAATTCAAATCTCTAGGAAGTGATTCAAAAGAGGACGTAAAAGTTAAGCAAAATATTAACAAACAGGAAACTCTCATTAGAAAAGGTTTATGTAATTTCAGTCCTCCTCTAGCAGTGAATTCTGGAAAATCTCATCACAGATGAAGAGACTTCAGACAATGTGCTTCTACGGAAGAATGCTGAGAATACGATGGAATGAAATGTGAGCAAGGACGAAGTTTTAGAAAAAAAGGAAACAAAAAGGACGCTTATACTTAGAATCTGAAAGAGATTAACTAAAATTTATAGGGCACATAATGAGTAAAGAGGGTTTAGAAAATTTAAAACCCATTAGAATATATGGAAGGCAAGAGGGACAGAGTAAAGCAGCGTATAACCTAACTAACGAGCTTGTAAAAATGCTTGACAGAACAGGGATTAGGAGAGATAGCAAAAATAGAAACTTTACTAAGAGCTACAAAGGACAGGAACTTGGGGAGAGCCATGATCGCCCACGCACTGAAAGAACATGGCGAAGAAGAAATTTCGAAATAACGATTTTGTTATAATTTTGTTAAGTTTTGAAAATCTATCTATCAGCTTGCTTGTTGAACTCAATAATAGCAAAATTATTTGAATGCTGATTTTCAAGGAAAAATAACTTCTCTGTAACACAATTTTCATTATTTCACAACAGTAATCTCCTTGCAAAATTTGTAATATTTTATAACTATATTTCTACTTTCTGAAAAGCAGCTACGTCTGTTATTAGTTTTACCAAATCAAAATGTTTTTATTATTTGTTGAATGTGCGTTCGTAATTAGCACTTGATAACCTTTTTATGGGTGACTGTATATCAGTGCGATTCTTCAATCAGATTCCTCTGAGGTTGGTCTTTGAAGACCTTTTGGTGGATATTCTAAAAGACCATTCATACCTTTCAATCAAGCTTAAGGCCAACACCAATTTTCTTCCTTCTCAAAATGTCTCAACAATGAAAGTTATTTTGAACTTAAAAAATTCGTTCAGCCAGTTTGAGCACATGTTTCTGACAGACTCATCCGATGACATGTAACCTACAACATGGTGTTCGGTCAGTGCCTTACACACTGGTCAACAGCCAATTTTCATCAGGAATGATAGGTGCTCTGTTATATACAATTTTGTCCATTGATGTCAAAAAAGTAGTCGGATTTCTTCTATCAGGTACAGTTTCTCTGATGAGATGAGGTGGGCATAAAACTCCGATCACTCACATCGTCACTCCTATATAAGTTTTTCATAGGTAGTTATCTATTTGTATAACTAACTGCGTGTATTATGTAATTTTATGTATTAAATTTTTTATGGCATAGTTAAGCATTTTTCACAAAATATTTCATTAGCAATATTTGATATCCCATAAATTTTACTTTTTCTTTTCAGCTGTCCGATACTCATCAGCCGCGTCTGTTCATCATGAAACTCTATTCAAGACGTCAAGGCATTGCAAAAACAGTCCTGATATATTTTGCTATGTCTGTGGTTCATTTACCACCAAAGCTCATCAATGTCTCATCACAATTGAAATGAAGACGATCTACCAGTTGACTTTGGATTGGCCTCTCGGGAATCACGATAAGAGTTGGGTGCCATATAGCATCTGATCAGCTTGTTCCAAAAGACTAAGGAATTGGCTTAATAAAAGGAAGAGAGCAATGAATTTTGCAATACCTATGTTATGGGGAGAAGCAAAATATCATTTCAAAGACTGTTATTTCTGCATGGTTAATCTATGGGGATTTGCAGGTAAGTCCAAGCATAAGATTGTACATCTTAACTTAGAATCGACAAAAAGACCAGTACCACACTACGACGATGATCTTCCTGTTCTAGTACAACCGGAGAATGGCCTTCAAATGTCTGACAAGGAGACACTGTGAGCAAAACTACTATTGATGTGGAAACAAGCGAAGTGGATGCAGTTTTTGCTCTTGAAAATGAAGGAGAACCATGTACGTTTTTTCTAGGATATTAAAATGATTTGGTTAGAGACTTGGCGTTGTCAAATGATAAAGCCTAACTTTTAGCATCTCGTCTCACAGAAAAGTATCTGCTTAACGACGATGTTTGTCGTACTCATTTCAGAAAGAGAGATAGGGATCTGACTTTATTCTTCTTTGTGGACAGGCCACTTTTTTCTGTAATGACATTGATAAGTTATTTAACGGTTTGTGGCAAGAACATGTTCCATTTAAACGGCATTTATTCATTGATTCATCGAAGTGAATTTTCAAGGCAGTATTACCACACGACGGCAACAAAAACCATTTCTTCCCATAGGACATTCTTCAGTACACATGAAGGAATATATATGCAGGTATACTTCGATGCTATAAATTACTCAGAATACATCTAGAATATATGTGGAGACATAAAGGTGATAGGAACGTTGATGGGAATGCAGTCAGGATTCTCAAAACACTTCTGCTTTTTATACTTTTGGGATAGTCGTACAACTGCCAAACACTACATGCAAACAGAATAGCCCCAGCGAGAAACATATGAGCCGGCGGGGATCTTAAAGCTCATGTAACAATATATGAAGATATTTCCCAGGAAGAGCTCAGAATGCCAAATTCCCCCAAAATCACCGAGGCAAGACTGAAGGAAGGTGTAGGACAACAACTCCATCAAAACCCTGGATGAGATTGAACTTAAAGCCTGTATTTTTTAAGTGGATCTGTAAAACTTTTCTGGGTAAAAAGAAATCTCAAGATTTTAGAAACGGAGTAACATGTTTTCTAGAGTATTTTCCTCAATGGGCTATGGGATATCACTGAAAAACAATTTCCATGATTCACATCTGGACTTTTTTTTAGCAGAGAACTTTGGAGTAGTGTCTAAGATGATCACATTCATCAAGACACGGCATCAATACAGCAACAATATCGATAGGAATTAAGGAATTCTAGCTGACGATTTTTGGATGTTATACAGCACTAGGGAAAGTCTAAATCCCAAAGTTTTTAAATTGTAAAGACGTTAGAAGTACATAGCTGGAGTTGAATTTAGAATGAACCGAAAACCCAATCCTAAACAGGAAACAAATGATAAACCTTTTAAAAGAAGGCAGTTACATAATCTTGTTTGATTCCTGTTAAGGATTGGGTTTTCGGTTCATTCTAAAATCTTCTTTTCCACTTCCAGTCGTCCTGCGTCTTCGTGCGTTACCGCCTTGCTCGGGGTGAATTGATTAAAAAAGTAAAAGTAAAACATATACTTTCATTCATCGTTATTTCCACTGAAATCGTTTCGCCTACATCATGTTAACTTTGCTAAAGGCGCATTCCTAAATTTTCAGTCAAACCTGTTTGATAAGAACTGAATGAAATGTAATCATCTTCAACCAATCGAGAGAAGAGAATTCTCAAGGTTTTCTTCTGCAAAACACCGACATTTTGGGGCGACAAAGTTTCCTTATTGCAATATGGAAACCTCACGGAAAGAAGCGGGAATAATGCTCGTTGGATGACCACAGGTCGCCTTTCATGGTTAAAAATACGTAATTATGACGTCTATTTAAGCCGCTCGACTACTTTACGTACACTGTTCTCCTGTAATTAAATGTGTCATTAACGTGTCCTTGAAAATTTTTTATTCCTGTCAAACTATGTTGCTGCAAAAGTTACTATATGGCCCTCTTCTGGCGATCCCCCCCACTCATATATATGATGGACTCTCCCATCGAGTTCGAGGTATGAGGTTCCGACGAGCATGAACTAATTATCTGCATGCCTATGACGGTCATGACTTTTGAGGCCGGTTAGAGAATTGCACAAAAGACCACAAACAGCACAGGAGAATATATTGTATCCAAGTACAGCAGGAACAATGTTAGCTGTCTTGTTTTGCTTTCGTGTTTCGTGCAGTCATATGATGGTGCATTATTCCTGAATGGCAGCGAGAACGATACTCTGATCTCTTCATAGCTACCTTTTCAAAGTTCTTGAATGGAATGTTGACACAAGAAAGGTTGCTTTTCAGTTTATCTTTATACCTGAGCCAAGGTTTACCAACATTTCTATGACCACTATAGAGTTGACTCTAAAAAAATAACTTTTGGTATGTGATCATCACACACCTTGCCACATGGCCAGCCCAACGTAGTTGTAATTGCATTATGAAGGTCTCCAGGTTATCAATCTTTCTCAAAAAGGTCGACATTTGAATCGATTATCAAACGTTAGGCCACAGATTTTACGGAGACAACCTTTATGGAAGACATCTAATCGTTTAATGTGTCTTCTATAACGTGTCCAAATTTCAGAGCAATACAAATGAGATGATAAAACGACAGCATTGTACACTTGGATTTTAGCACTTTATTCCCCTTCCGTCCAACAAACCTATGACGCAGCGAAACAAAGGAAACGCTGTCTTTAGCAATACGATTAATAATCTCGTCATCAAGTGATGTACTTGAATTATATATTGAAATATTACATATATATGCGTGAGCGTGTGTGAAAATATATAGAAAAATAGGAAAGCACCGTTAGGTTAATAATCCGAAGTTCTTTAGTATTTTTGTTTTTATTTTTAAAAAACAGTGCTCGATACACAAGTAGAACCATAATTATAATTATATTATAATATATATATATAATATAGATAATAATATAATTATTATTAATAATTATATAGATAATAATATAATAATTATATGACATTAATATATTATATATAATATAATAATTATATATAATATATTACATTAATATATTATATATAATATAATAATTATATATAATAATAATTATATAGATAATAATTATATATGATAATAATAATTATATATGATAATATTATAATATGATAATAATAATTATATATGATCATATTATATATGATAATAGTTATATATATAATAATTATATAGAGCTAACATATTCAGTCGTATGGTATGAGTTTGTGACCCTGGGTTTCACGCAAACGTTTGCCTGATGATCGTAAAAAGCGTGAGACCCAGTGTCACAAACTCACATCCATACAACTATATATATATATATATATATATATATATATATATATATATATATATATATGTGTGTGTGTGTGTGTGTGTGTGTGTGTGTGTGTGTGTGTGTGTGTGTGTGTGTGCGAAGTTCTCAGAATATATCTGTAGAAATGACAAATTAAATAATACAGACAATCGAAAAAATAATACTTGGTCCTTGCCGACGCGTTTCGCCATCCAAATTTATCAAGGCATTTTAGTGATAACAAAAGTGAAATGTAGTGAAATTCAAAAGTTTTAAAAGACGCTCATGCGAAAGCCTCTTTTTGGATATTAGTAACTTTCGACAATGTGTGAAAACCACCCTTAGTTAAAAAATGTTATTAATAACCCTCAATTAAGAATTAGCAGTCATTTGAAATCAACATGTTGGTCTTTCCTCATTCCATTTGGCTCGAGTCTGTAATTGTGTCTACAAGGAATTTTTGTTGTGTACAATATCCCAATTACAGTTGGCCGTGATATCAAAAATATTCCTCCAAGCCAACATCATCAGTAGATTTTGTGTTCAATGTTTTTCTTTTTAGAATACACATACGTCATATTCACGTGATATAACCGCAAACAGTCCAAAAGATATGTTTTGTTTTTTTATAAACAAAATAAAAGAAAACTCCGCGTCAGTGTTGGTAGTGTGCGTGTGGCCAGTGGTTAAGCATTTTTTACCCTTCGCTCAAACCCTAACCTAAAACGAGGTTCTTGCTTACTAAACATAGCTTCTTACCCGTTAGTCTGATGGTTCCTTGCCAAACGAAACCTAGACAAATAAGCCTATCTTATTAAACTACTAAAGTTTACCAGCCTATTAATGTGTGCATGAAGGTACCTACTTACGTTCTGTTGGTGGGCAGGTTGTTGACTTGCACCTTCTCAGCCTCGTACTCCTAACACACACGCTTGTTTGATGAAAAGTATTTGTATTAAGGTTGGAACATTGTAATTGTTTTAGCAACGAGTGAATATGCATGTCTGTGTCTTTGGCTTTCAGATAGATAGATAGATAGATGGAGAAAGAGAGAGAGAGAGAGAAAGATAGATAGAGAGAGAGTGTGTGTGTGTTTCTTTCTATGAAAAACAATACATGACACGAGTGAGATGACATGGGAGAGCGAGAGTAAAGGAAGAAGACAAAGTTTGAAGTCATTCATAATTTGTATTGATATTTACCAATTATTCAGTCAATTACATTCCAACGTTAAATGAAATGACGATCTATGATCAAGCTGTCTTCCTGTAATTGTGACTAGCGTGTTTGCTGAAGACAAACCCAGGTACAATTTTTTTAATATTTGAGACATTTTCAGGGTAACAAAAGCGAGAAAACTTTTTAAAAGGTCCTGCATAATACTTGTTCATCAGTAAATGTATTATAGCAATAAAAAATGTATTTCACGCACACAGAGATGAACGATATTTACCAAATTTGAAACAAAGAAATTAAAGGGAAATGGAGGGTTAGAAAGTTGTTATACTAAATTTCCAATGCTTTTGTTGGGAAATAATTCATCCACCAAGTATATCTTACTTATTATAAAACGCAGATTGTGTGTGTGTGTGTGTGTGTGTAACGTTTATATATTGGATCGGATTTCCTACATTTTTCAACCGATTTCAACAAAACTTCACAGGACTACATAAAATTACCTTGTGATGGTTCTAACGGCGAAAAATGGGGAAAAATATAATTGTTTTTGCACAAAATCAATTTGAAAACACGATTAAGAGACATCGTGAAAAATGGAAGGGGACAACTCACATCGGTTTGTTTGTTGTGTGGGTTACTTTAAATATGGGAACGGATTTCCTATATTTTTCAGCCGATAAAACAAAACTTCACTTTTTTTTTTTTGGCAGGTCGTGTTTCTTATTCTCTTGCACTTTTTTTTTCTTTATTTTTAACATTCAGAATGCTTTAAAAATTCCATTTACAAGACAATTATTTATAATAAAATTCTATTCAATCAGTAGACTCATAACGATTGAAAACAATGTTTTTGTTTGAGTTTGGGTTTGACCAATTCGTAAAAAATAAAAATAATAAAAAAAATAATTAAGACATGCGTGTCCGTCAACCTTTAACAATAATCTAACGATCTCTACTGATTGTAAGAATACAAACATCGGAATAAATTCTTTATCTTTAGGGAAAGATAATGAAATCTAAACATACACAAGTCCTAACTAAAAATAATAACCGGAACGGGAAACTACTTTAAATACACATGGTGTCCAATTTTTTACTGTATTCAATAAGTAAAAATCATAAATTGTTAAAAGATTATTATATATTACAGAGAAGGCTACTAAATGAATAAGATTTGTTAGATCATAATTAATAAACCCAAATAAAGTTAATATTTTTTGTAATAGAAACAACGAGTGGAAAATATATTCAAATCAGAATTCTAATTATGAATCACCACAAACAAAATATGCAATTTTTATTACTGTATTCAATAAGTAAAAAATCATAAATTGTAAAAACTAAAAAGATTACAGAAAGGCTACCTACATTTTTCAACTGATTTCAACAAAAGAATTTTTTTTTTTGGCATGTAGTGTTTCTTATTGTCTTGCACACTTTTTTCTTTATTTTTACATTCAGAATACTTTAAAAATTCCATTTACAAGACAATTGTTTATAATAAAATTCTATTCAATCGGTAGAGACTCATAACGATTGAAAACAATGTTTTTGTTAGAGTTTGGGTTTGACCAATTCGTAAAAAAAAAAAACTAATTAAGACATGCGTGTCCGTCAACCTTAAACAATAATCTTTGTCAATTTTATTTTTCAGTCTTTATGATGGTGGATACTTGATCTATCTCTTACTGTTATATCCCAGGCAACGCCGGGCTCTCTACTAGTATATATATATATATATATATATATATATACATACATATATATATATATATATATATATATATATATATATATATATATATATATATATATATATATACAAAAAGCCCAAACAATATTGATGTGATCAAAAGAAAACATAATACCCCGGACAAAAAAAAAAAAACGAGCAAGAAAAACCAAAACGCAAACAGTAAATTAAAATGTAAAAGAAAAAAATCGCGTCACAATGTCAATACTCAACGAAGGACAGCTCGAGTCACGTGATCTTTAGTTGACAATAATTAATGAATTCTAATGTGGAAACATATATATATATATATATATATATATATATATATATAACGTATATTTTATACAATGAAGTTTACAAATATCAAAATACTTTTTATTATTAGTATGAGATTAAATTTCAGTGATTTTTTTCACTGCATTATTTTTTATTCTCTTCATTATTCTGCTCATTTTCTACATTCCCCTTTTAATCTATAACGTTAACTTGCCCGAGTCTTTATCGTGAGATTGATTAACTTGTACAAATTGTATATATTGTAGATAGAACGGATTAATTCCGGATTGAAGAATGCGAATTTAGTTAAAAATAAGATAAAACACAAGATGATAAAAAAAATAGAGAGAGAGAGAGAGAGAGAGAGAGAGAGAGGTATAGAAAATCTGAAGGAAGTGATCTGGGTATAAAACAGTAAGTTGTTCAAAGCACCAGGAATTCAAAAATTTGAAATCATTTGTTTAATTTTTCAAAGGATTGTTTTGACTCCTTGATGTTCGCACTCGCCACAAAAAGTAGACACAGCCCAGATAATTCTTTTCGATGTGTTACTGGTCTACAAGTAACTGGTATTTTTCTTTTGATAGAGAAGCAAACAGGTGATTGGTCTTGTACTTACGAGAAACTTAAACCTAGACAAAATTTACTCATCTGATACTTCTAATGAAGTCTGATACTGAAGTTAATCTGTATTATTTTTAGGGTAATTCTTTACGTTAATATGATCATTCGTATCTATCCACCTTCATCAACTGTAAGGATATAGTCTCGCATTCAGTGGCATTTACTGGACCGATATTACATATTCAGAACTATTATTTGTTTTTTACGATAACTTTTTGTTAATACCTTGCTTAGCTTTTGGAAGGCAACTTTTGCTATTCCAATGCGTTTTTAGATTCCGCTGCAACATTTTTCGCCCTCTGTTAAAAGCCTTTCTATATATTTAAATCTTTGTACTTGATTATTGTTGGTGCTTCCAATTCCTATTTCGTTTCTTAGTCTGTTAATTTTGTTGACAATTTTTACAATTGATGCTTATTTCTTTCTTTTTGCTTTACTACCTTCTGTAGGAATTCCTGGAATTTCCTTTCTGTGTTTGCTATCAACACTGTGTCATCGGCATATCTTAAGATTGAGTCCACCAATAATAAATCCTGGTAGTACTTCCTCGCTTTAAACGTTGAATCAATATGATGAGAAAGTTTTGTATATTTAACGAATCCATTTTCTATTCGGATGGATTCCATCCGTATAGAAATATGCTAGATAGATATGCTGGTCGTTGCTCCCAGAAAATATCACACTAGTCTTCGTAATAAAACTTGTTTTGGAGATGACAGATTTATTTATTATGCAAACAAAGTATAACGTACATTTTAAATTATAAACAAATAAATCATATATAAGTCATAGAAACATATTTGATTATACAAGTATATGGAATAATCTTGAACGATCAGACATATATTTCTCGGGGGATTTCAGTTCTAAAAATGAAGAAAGGCGAAGAAAGGCGAAGAAAGGCGAAGAAAAGCAGACATCCAGTGTACCGCCGACTCTAATTTATGAGCTCTTAGATTTAGTTAAGGATATAGTACGGACTCTCCAATTTTGCCTCTTTTTCCATCGGTATCACCCCCAAGCAAGGTAGTACAGCCACTAGCATGTTGTGGAGGAATTAGGAACAGAAACATTAGTAATGAAAGAGACATGAGCAATTAGGAAGACAGTAGATAGCGATTGACACTGAATTTAAATTTTTGCAGATTAAGGATGGCTGGAAAGCATGGAACCGAGAGGGAGTTCTACAAGCGAGAAGTGCAAGATAAAGTGCGAGATATTAGCATAGAGGTTACGGCTGCATTTAGCTAACTCAACTGTAAACTGATGAGATCTCGTCCCCAGTCTAGTAGTGCGCTTAAGTTCATAGAGTCTAGGTACCATAGCGAAGAGCTCATCCGAACAATTACCATGAAAGTATTGCTAAAAAAATTACAGAAAGGAAACAAGACGGTGAGCAAGCGACTGAACCCGATATGCCATATCAGGACCAATAATATTGCTGATTATTCTTTGAGCTGAGAACGTTAGCCCGGGAAGGCGCAATGAGTCACTTTCCTGGATAGCATGAGTCATGCTGGTGGAAGGCAGAGAAGGGTCACTCAAATGATTAATGGAGAGAAGTTTAGTTTTGAAGGTGTTAAAATTGACAAGTCATCTTTTGTCCCAATTAACGACGGACTTGAAGTCGTTTTGGACATCAGCTGCCATTTTGACCTTTTCTGACTGATTAACCTTACTATCTAGGCAGGAATAAATGGTAGTGTCGTCAGCGTTGATAACAAGTTGAGAGTTGATGTCACCGGCAAGGCCGTTAATGAAGATTAAAAACAGCGTAGGATCAAAGATGGAGACCTGGAGGACATCTGCGTTAGTATGAAAGGATGTAGATGAGTGGCCGTCCAGGACAACTTTCACTTTACGATTTGATAGGAACGACTGGATCAGTTCAAAAACGTGTCGGAAGAAACCGTATCTTTTCAGCACATGGAGAATACCTGAATGCCAGACCTTGGCAAAGGCTTTCGAGATGTCCAATAAAAAAAAAGATGAAACCCGGGATGTAGATCCCGGGTTTCATCTTTTTTTTTAATCTAGAGCATGTTAGACTCTTTCTGCAATTATCGTTAGTACATCAGCAGTTGATCTGGAGACAAAAAACCCCTATTTTTTGTCTGAGAAAAGGCCCAGTAAGAGATGATGAACAAAATTCAGCATTGATTAGGGTCTCTAGGAGTTTTCCTCGAAAGAGGCAGAAGGCTAGTCAGTCGATAGTTGGATGTACCGGACGGTTCACCAGTGTTCTTAAAAACTGTAACAACAGACGATGACTACCAGCAGGAAAACAAAAGGCAGTTAGGCATTTATTATATAGTTTAGAGAGGACAGAAGCAAGTTCGGGAGTACACTTCTTAATGACTATTAC